GCACCACGTCTGTGTATTCGGGCCTTCAAAAAGTGTGGTTGAACTGCAGAAAACCTTCGCCACTATAATCAAATCATAGGTGCTGATGTCCGGCTGTCTGTTCCTTGGAACAGACCAGCTTGACCTTCATACGTCGAATACGACGGGAAATTCCAGCATATTTTGAGGATGTTAAATTTTATGATGCAAGCAAATTTAATGTATATTTTCAGTGAAACTCAAGTATATCCAACATACCTGAACACATAATTTTATTATTTTAGATGTCAATATAAGATTGTTAATATTCTACAACATACATTATTCTTTCAGGCATTGATTTGATTCACTTTGTAGCAGTTTTTTATTGTTTACTTGGTTAGAGTAGTTCCTAGCATTCTTGTTTACCATTCTCTGGCATATCTCTTTTAATGACCGACCATATGATTCTATGCAATTCATATCTTGGGAGCCGAATCGGCCCTGTTTCATTTGGCATGCACCAAATATGAAAGAACATTGTCTAGAACTTGCAATAATTTTCTACATTTATTCATAGCCGTCAACACTAAAGGGACCCATTATTTTATTATCCACAATCAGTCAGTTGTGTGCCATGCGTGATACACGCTTAGGCGATCATGTACCTTTCGATACATGACTGACGAGGCAGATTTTTTTCCCGCAGTAGGCTGCCATTTCTTTCAGCGGTAGACTAGTTGCTATCTAAGGCTATATAACCCGGTCTGTCCTACTATTTACCCATAGCTGGGGGTGGGAGAGAAGTGAATCCATGCCTTTCTCAAGGGTATTAGCACATAAGTGAAGGGAATTCGAACTCGGCTCTCCGATTAATCAATCCGAGTCGCTATCCATTACTCTACCTTACCTCCTACCCATAATACAAGCCGTAAATATTACAAATACCTCTCCTTTCTTTTGTTCTTTGTTTATTTCTTTGAAAGAAAGCAATCTCTAACACGGTGATCAGCTTTATATAATGTTGCTCTAAAATCATCGTTAAAAATGACAGTTAAAAAAGGGTTTTAAGCACTTCTTCGGCCTAATTATTCATTTCTTTTTCTGATTTTTACGTGGTAGTTTGGTTGCGTACATTTATCCATTGTGCTTTAAAATAGGTATTTTTTCTGTTTCCATTCGCAACACTCGATTATTGTTAGACAAGTTATTGTTTCTTAACATCTTTCGTGTATCAATTATATTCGCGTCGTTCTGGGTATGACGATAAACTACGTCCGCGTCCTGGGTGAGACGATATACTACATCCGCGTCCTAGTAAGACGATAAACTACGTCCGCGTCCTGGTAAGACGATAAACTACGTCCGCGTCCTAGGTAAGACGATAAACTTCATCCGCGTCCTGGTAAGACGATAAACTACATCCGCGTCCTGGTAAGTCGATAAACTACGTCCGCATCCTGGGTAACACGATAAACTACGTCCGCATCCTGGGTAACACGATAAACTACATCCGCGTCCTGGTAAGTCGATAAAATACGTCCGCATCCTGGGTAAGACGATAAACTACGTCCGCGTCCTGGGTAAGGATGAATTATATCCAACAGCAAGGTCTCTGATCAGGGGGTTTTGAGGAGCGTGGAACCACCTCTTAATTGCTGATGTTGCCAAGTCCACTCTGACACGGGGTGTGGTTGCCTGTTGGGGTCCCAGCTATGGGCGAATATTTAACATCCAAACTTGGGTCAAAATACTATGAAAGTGTGAAAATATGTTTTAATAGCAGAAATGATATTTTGAAGGAGAAATTATCAGCAATACTTAAAAAAAAAATTACCAGCAATACATACAGCTGTAAATTTTTTGAAAAAAATATTACTAACCATACATTTTTGGAAAAAATATTATCAGCTAAACATTTTTTGAAGAAAAAAATATTCCCAAAAATAAATTTTTGAAGAGAGAAATATTACCAGCAATTTTTGGGAAAAAATATTACCAGCATTAAAAATTTTGTCGGCATTAAATAACCCATTGAGGTTGGTATGCCGTAAAACAAACCAAACCAAACTAAACTTATATTTGCAAAGCCATATTTTTCTTTCTTGCACATTATCAATGTTTTCAGTTTGTCGTTTGAGCATCCATTGATTACGGCTCAGCTTTTTCACAACTTCCAAAGTTGTCTTCTCATGATTAAATAATATTACATTAAAACATTTATTCTAAGTTTAAATCTTTCGCATGACCCATGATAATTTTCATAGTGCTGCTTCTAAAAAATAAATATCAACAACTAATATTTTGTAGACATATTTTTGCTGGGGAACAAAATGTAATAATAGTGGTAAAAAATATTTTAAAACAAGGATTAAAAATAATAAAATAGACAATTGACGAACACATTCTATATTACCGTAAAGTTGTAATATTGAATTAAAAAAAATATTTTTAAAAAACAAAAAAAAAATATAAAAGCAATTTAACCGTGTTTATCGGATTCCTCTTATCGGACGAAGACGAGTAAATTGCACATAAATAAGCTTAAAGAATGGTTGTAAGACTTAACTCTAATTAGCTTCTAATTATTATATATTTAGTATATATCATTTCGTGTTTGGTATTCATTTTAGCTGTGTTCCTATTTCCTGTTCTCGATTAAACTGATTAAGCTTCTTTTTTTTTTTTTTTACTATTTGTTTCGTTTCGTTTATTTTGTTTTACGACAGATCAACCACAACGGGTTATTTAATGCTGACAAGATTTTTTACGATAAGTTCATTTGAATAGAATATGTATTCTTTCTAAGAAATCAGTTTGTAGATCAGGTTTCCTTGATAAATTTTTGTGAAGAGGGTTTTTTTTTTGTCGAGAATCAAATGTATTGCTAGTAATATATTTTAATGTATTTCTTGTAATATTTTTAATGTATTGCTAGTAATATATTTTAATGTATTTCTTGTAATATTTTTAATGTATTTCTTGTAATATATTTTAATGTATTTCTTGTAATATTTTTAATGTATTTCTTGTAATATATTTTAATGTATTTCTTATAATATATTTTAATGTATTTCTTGTAATATTTTAATGTATTTCTTGTAATATTTTTTAATGTATTTCTTGTAATATTTTTTTTAATGTATTTCTTGTAATATATTTTAATGTATTTCTTGTAATATTTTAATTTTTCTTGTATTATTTTTGTAATATTTTTTATATGTAATATTTTTTTCTTAGTAATATTTTTTAATATTTCTTGTAATATTTTAATTTTAATATATTTTAATAATTTCTTATATATTTTTAATGTATTTCTTGTAATATATTTTAATGTATTTCTTGTAATATATTTTAATGTATTTCTTGTAATATTTTTTATATATTTCCTGTAATATTTTTAATGTATTGCTAGTAATATATTTTAATGTATTTCTTGTAATATTTTTTAATGTATTTCCCTGTAATATATTTTTTCAAAAATGTATTGCTGGTATTTTTACTATAAAATCTATTTTATACTTTCATATTTTAATATTTAATCCCAGTTTGACGGTTAAATATTTGCTCATAGCTGGGAAACCAACAGGTGCTACCATATGAGCCAGGGTGGACATTGGAATAATTGCAATAAAGAGGTGTTTACTATTTGTTTTACTTACTATTCTTTACATATCTCACATTTTTATATGTATTTTACAATAAAAGCTGATAATAACTAATGACTTATAGTAACTGTTTGTAACTAACAAAAATAGTTATTATAAGCTGAAAATAGCATGGTATATTTATTCATGGAAATCTTACTACATATTTTGGTAGTCAGTCAGTTATATGCCACGCGTAATATACGCTTAGGCGATCATGTATCATTCGATACATGACTGACGAGGCAGATTTTTTTCCCCGTAGTAGGTTGTCATTTCTTTCTGCGGTAGACCAGTTGCCATCCAACGCTATAGAACCCAGTCTATCCTGCTATTTACCCATAGCTGGGGAGATATGTGGATTCATGTCTTTCCCAAGGCTATTAGCACGTAACTGAATATCACTTAGTTATGTGCCATGCGGGATACACACTTAGGCGATCATGTATCTTTCGATACATGAGTGACGAGGCAGATTTTTTTTTCCGACAGTAGGTTGCCAATTCTTTCTGTGGTAGACCAGTTGCCATCCAAGGCTATAGAACCAGGTTTATCCTACTATGTAACTAAACTTCTTCTTCTCTCCATACTTAACTTAATTGGTCCACTCTTAAATGATAAGGGATTTATTTTTGAAAATAATTATTGCAGATGAGCGTTTTCAGATTTACTTTAGGCCTCGTCACTTGTCATAATCGACTAAAATTAATTTGTCTAATCATTTCAGAATGTTAAATACTGTTGATAATATCGATATAGAAAACAATAAACCCAAGTTACTGGGCGGAGCTTTCATTTCCTTATATTTTGAAAGTTTGATATCTTCGTAATAATGCATCGATATCTGCATATTTGTTTTGTTTAATTATTCCGCATTTTAACATTTTAAATTTCTTTTTTTAACAATTTTACACAAATTATAAAAAAAAATACTTTTTATATGGGATATTTTCGGAAGCACATACAAAAATAATCAAAGATAACTGTTTTTTTTATCTTAGATGCAGAATAAACGAATACATGATGTTATTAATTAATGTAAATTCTTGTTCTTTGATTAAAATAATTGAGAAATAAATATTCGTACACATACAAATTTTTCATTTATTGTATTTCCAACTAACGAATAAACATACTTTTTTTTTAATAATTAACTGTACACATATGAATAATAACTAAATATGCATAGAAAAAAGAAACAGAACAAATTTTGATGTAATAGAAATAAATTCCATTTATCCATTTAAATAGGTGAAAAATGTTTTCGTAGAATGCAAATTTTTCAAATTTAAAAAATTTTAAATTGCGTTAATACTCTAGATTATTCAAGTGGAATATTCTAGAATGTTTCAATAATATTATCAGTAGTTATTTTTAGCCTAAAAAAATACAAGCAGAACATTTTGTAATTAATATTATTGCAAGAAGGTTATCATCATGGCAAGAGGTAAAGAAATGACAAATTCCCAAAAGAAGAACTGATTGTTAAGCTCTGGAAAGAAGGTAAAAGTTATAGGAAAATCTCAGGCAACGCAGACATTTACTACCATTAGTTCATTCATTGCAAGATATAAAAAACTCAAAACTGTTTGGAAAACCAAAGAAGAACATGTGCTTCACAGAAGAGTTCTTTAAGATTCTCGAGGAAATTAATGCGTCAAATTAAACAAAATTCAATGTCTACTCGTCAAGGTTTGAAGGCTGATTTGCTTTCATTAGGAATCTGTGTCGCTAAACGGACAGTAAACATTGAAATTCATAGGAACAATTCAGAGTGACGCTCCCCTCTGAAAATTCCATTGCTATTGAACAAAGACAGTGATGCAGGATTGAAATTCATTCGTGGACATAAGGATAAGGCAAAACCATATTGGAAATGAGTATTATGTACAGACAAAAACAAAACTGAGTTGTTTGGAAGTAATTCTAGGAATTGTGTATGGATGAAACAAAAGAACACAGTTCCAAAAGTGAAATTTGGTGCCTGGCAACATATTATGGTTCGGGGATGGTTTTTTTTTCTCAGTAAAATGTACTGGCAACATATCAGTAGTAGATGGTAGAATGAATGCTGCAGCATATCAAAATATTTTGGAAGCAAATTTAATGATTTCGAGTTTTGAATATCTTGAACTTCTTCCTGATTGGATCTTCCAAAAAGATAATCATCCTAATCATACTGCAAAATCTAAGAAGAAATGGCTTGCTGAAAATAAGGTAAATATCCTGAAATGGCCAAGTCAGTCCCCAGATTTAAACCCAATCGAGAATCAGTGGCGTTATTTCAAAATTCAAATCCAATCGAGGGCTCCAACAAACATCCCGGATCTGAAGAACGTATGCGAAGAAGAATGAGATAAAATAGCAACTAAATTTTTTTAGATCATTAATTGAGAACTACAAGAAGATTTTGCTTGCTAAAGAAGTGGATAATGGCTTATTCTACAAAGTATAATATTCAGATTGTGTTATCTTTTCTGTATTGTACGAATACTTTTTTCACCTATTAAATTGGATAAATGGGGTTTATTTCTATTACATGATTTTTTTTTCTGTTTTCTATGCATATTTTGTTATGCATCTGTGTAGAGTCAATTATATGAAAAGTAGGTTTATACATTAGTTGGAAATAGAATAACTTAAAAATTTGTACGTGTATGAATATTTGTCCCCCACTACCCACTGTACATAAGTTTTTTCATTGTTTAGAAGAAACCTTTTTCTAACTGTTATAGTGGAACACAGCTATTCTATAATTAATAGACTCTCCCACCTATATTAAGTAGGAGTAGTAAGAGTAACGAGCGAAGACGCTCAGGGAGTTGGTCAGTCAGTCGACTGGCTGATCGGTTGAACTCTCTGCCTTCGGGCGAGGAGGAACCCGAACGAGGCTACGCCGAAGAGCGGAGTCTCTTTCGGGAAGGTAAACCGACCCTGAACCCGATTATACAGGTTCAAAGGGCATAATTTTGGACGAGCCCACGGGCTCGAAGATCCCACGTTAAACCGGCCTTGTGCCACATGATGCCCTCGTGGCGGGGGTGACTAAATACTGTCGCTCAGGGAGTTGTTCAGTCAGTCGATGTCGGACGACCGTTAGTCGGATATTAAAATATCAGCGACCACCACTAGATTTCTCTGCGTCATTACCTATTATATGAAGTTCGTAACGTTTTGTACGTCGAACCTATTTTAGGACCGACTTAGTAAAAATACAAGCCTCCACTGTGAAACTACTCTACAACACTAACCCTCCCCAAAATTTGTTTACATATGCTTTCGTAAGTCCAACGATTTTATAAATATCAGGGATCGATTTGATATTATGAATCGATAAAAATTAAATAGTTTTCGATCATGACAAATGTCACGGCCTAAGAAGCTTTAAAAAGAATTCTAATGTGAATACAAATTCTCCGAAAAAATATATTTTCCTATTTTTTGTGAGTGTATTTAAAAAACTCTCAATTTTTGTTGTGAAAACATTTATTAAATATGATCTAGTGTACATACTAGAAATTTCGATTTCTTAGCACGGAATACGACTCTGTATTCCGCCAATGCTAAGTCCCATTCTTATGTTGTAAATGTGGCGCATCTGACGATTATGAAGAAGGTAAGAGAAGTTCTTCAAAATAGTGTCTATACTTCATATCTCTCACCTTTCGACATTCAATTCATGTAAAACTCCATGTCTTGGAAAAGTTTCCAACAATTTGAAAATATCAAACCATTCTTTAAGAATTCCTTGAATCAAAACCGGAATCGCGTTCCGATTTAGCTGAAAATAGCATAATGTTTTAGAAAACGCGGGAAAACACTCTGACGGCAGAATAAAGTTACTATGAATACATAAAGAAAGAGTGTGTCCAAAATCCTGGAAACCTTTTCATCAACTCAATATCAAACTGGCTGTCACCCAATAAATATTATTTCTGGGGCATAACTCACTTATTTTAAGAAGCGCCATTTCTCTGAATATATCCATTCTATTTTAGGTTAATGCACTCAAAGATAACAAGAAAAATTGTCAGCCTCTATCCTCTACAACGCCTTGAATTTGTGCTAACCCATCCAACGCAGAATCAAGTCGATCGAATTATGCGAGCATAATTCCAAAATCTTTTGAAGGCTTGCTAAGAAGGAATAAAAAGACAATAAAAATTCTTCTTGTGTCTTCTGAAAATCTTCAATCGCTCATTCCTGTTTTATGTTATGAGCGAGGACTAATTTTAGAAATATCCCAACGATACTGCCATACTGAAAAATGGATGACTTTGGATTCTAGAAAATGGGTATGGCATGATGATGAAGATGTTGATGATGATGTTGATGATAATGTTGTTGTTGTTGATGATGATGATGATGATGATGATGATGATGATGATTAATAGAAATGCTTTCTGAAGATGAAGGCGATAAAGACATTTCTCAGAAAAGACATTTGAGGAATATAGATAAACGAATGAATACTGTCGAAGGAGAGAATGATAGATAGGAAAAAGAAGAAAAGAAAGAAGAGGAAAAATAAGGAAAAAGAAAAAAATAAAGAAGAAGAAGAAGAAGAAAGAGGAAATAAAAATAAAGAGGAGAATTAAAAAAAAATTAGAAGAAAAAAGTAAAAGAGAAAGAAAGATGAAAGGTAAAAGCGAGAAAAATAAGAAGACCGATTGGATGAAGAAGAAGAAGAAGAAGAAGAAAAAGAAGAAGAAAAAGAAGAAGAAGAAAGCGTCAAATAAAGAAGGAAAAGGACGAGGAAAAGAAACTGAAGACATATAAGAAGAAGAAAGATAAAAGAGAATAGAAAACAGAGGAGGAAGGAAAGAGTAGAAAATGAAATAATAGGAAGAAGATGATGAAGAGTAAGGGAAAAGAAAAAAGAGAAAGATGCAGAAAGAATGCCAAATGGAAAAGAAGAAGAAGAAGAAGAAGAAGAAGAAGAAGAAGAAGGAGGAGGAGGAGGAGGAGGTGGTGGTGGTAGAAGAAGTAGGAGGAGGAGGTGGTGATGAAGAAGGAGGAGGAGGAGGAGGAGATGGAGAAGAAGTAGTAGGAGGAGGAGGTGAAGAATAAGAAGAGGAGGAGGAGGAGGAGGAGGTGGTGGAGAAGAAGAAGAAGAAGAAGAAGAAGGAGGAGGAGGAGGAGGAGGAGGTGAAGAAGTAGAAGAAGAAGAAATAGGAGGAGAAGGAGGAGGAGAAGAAGAAGAAGAAGAAGAAGAAGAAGAAGAAGAAGAAGAAGTAGGAGAAGGAGGTGGAGGTGGAGAAGAAGAAGTAGGAGAAGAAGAGGAAGAAGAAGAAGAAGAAGAACTGTTCCAACGTAAAAATCAAGATGTGTACAAAAGCGTCGCGAATGTTTAAAACAGAAAAAGCATGTTATATTGTTAAATTTATCGTCGCTTAAATTGAGTCGGAACATTTGTCCTTTTAGTTAAAACATTTCCACCTGCCATTATTTTATCGTCTGCAGGATGTTAAATCCACGTCTGCTTTAATATTTTCTCCGGTCTTTCTGTTTTGTTTCGTACAAGTTAATTCTTTGTAGCCAGTGATATTGTACTTCAAATGATCTGCACATAGTATGTGTTCGCTTAATACGAAGACTTGCTATTAGACTTCTGAGAAGTTGCAAACGGCACCCTGTATACCAGAGTCAGATTTTATTTTGTTATCTCTTGACGCGCCAATGATTATCAATATCAATATGAGAGGTAACACGCTTTTTGAGAGCGCTATGAAATCAAACAAGTAATAAATGAACAGAGGAGGTATTTCGGTGCGATAATTTTAACATAGCATTATTTTTTTGTAAACTTTTCATCTCAAGCAAGACAATAAAGTAACGTGAATGTGAGAGAATATGAGAAATGGAAAACTTTATTAAGGAGAGAGAACAATAAAAGAACAGAAATTAAGTCTGTTCATATCTATCTATCTATCTATCTATCTATCTATCTATCTATCTTATTCTTTTCATATCTATATATCTATCTGTTTTTTCCTTTCATATCTATCTATCTATCTATCTATCTATCTATCTATCTATCTATCTATCTTATTCTTTTCATATCTTTCTATATATATCTATCTATTTAATTATCTATCTTATTCTTTTCATATCGATCTCTCTCTCTCTCTCTATCTATCTAATTTATGTTCATATCTATCTATCTATCTGTCTATCTATCTATCTATCTATCTATCTTATTCTTTTCATATCTATCTATCTATCTATCTAACTATCTATCTATTATGGGGTGGTTTCATAGTGGAGGCTTGTATTTGTACTAAGTCGGTCCTAAAATAGGTTCGACGTACAAAACGTTACGAACTTGATAAGTTGATAGGTAATGACGCAGAGAAATCTAGTTGTGGTCGCTGATACTTTAATATCCGACTAACGGTCGTCCGGCATCGACTGACCGACCCACTGAGCGACTGATTCGTTACTCTTACTACGCCTAGGTGGGAGAGTCTACTAACTATAGAATAGGTGTGTTCCATTATAACACTATCTTATTTTTTTCATATCTATCTATCTATCTATCTATCTATCTTATTCTTTTCATATCTATCTTATTCTTTTCATATCTCTCTCTCTCTCTCTCTCTATCTATCTATATATATATTATCTATCTAATTTATGTTCATATCTATCTTATTCTGTTCATATCTATCTATCTATCTATCTATCTATCTATCTATCTATCTTATTCTTTTCATATCTATCTATCTATCTATCTATCTATCTATCTATCTATCTATCTATCTAATTCTTTTCATATCTAACTGTTTATATCATACTAACGATTGACATTGAATTTAGATTTTTGAAGATCAAAGTTAACTGGAAAGTAAGAAACCGACAGAGTATCCCACAATCGAGAAGTGCGGGGGAAGAAACTGTTAGCATAGAACTTACGGTACACATAACCATTTTGAATGTCAAATGTTGAAACCCTGACGCCAAATTAATACGCTTAAATTCAGAATGTCTAGTTAACAAAGACAAAAGCTAATCCGAAAAATTACCATGAAAATAATTACAGAGAAGGCACAGGGAACCTATGTTACAGTGATAGGAAACTGACTGAAGTCAAGATAATCAGGATTAATAACATCGTAGATTCTTCTCCGGATTTTACCAAGAATCTCTAAATACATAGCAGAAGTACCAGGCCATATGCGACAGCAATATTCAATATCTGAATATAGTAGTTTGAATATCTGAGAGGGGAAAGGATCATTAGAGATATTATTTAATATACGGGTCCTTGCCTTTATCTTCGTTGCTGTTATCTGTTATGCTGAAACACACCTATTCTATAGTTAATAGACTCTCCCACCTAATATAAGTAGGAGTAGCAAGAGAAACGTGGGTCAGTCGATGTCGGACGACCGGCTGAACTGTTGAACTCTCTGCCTTCGGGCGGGGAGGAACTCAAACGAGGCTACTCCGAAGGGCGGAGTCTCGTTCGGGGAGGTAAACCGACCCTGAACCCCTTTATACGGGTTCAAAGGGTATATTTTTCACCGAGCCCACGGGCTAGGAGATACCACGTTAAACCGGCCTTGTGCCACATGATATCATAGTGGGGGGGTGACTAAATACTTGTCGAACTATCTGCCTTCGGTCAGAGAGGAACCCAGACGAGGCTATGCCGAAGGGCAGAGTTTCGTCCGGGGAAGTAGACAGACCCGATTCCGTTTATGCGGGGTCTACGGGGATTTTTTGGCCGAGCCTACGGGCTCGGGAACCCCACATTAAATTCGGTCTTGTGCCACATGTGACAGCGTGGGGCAGTTACTAAATAGCGTCGATGTCGGACGATAGTCGAACTCTCTGCCTTCGGGTAGAGAGGAACCCGGACGAGGCTATGCAGAAGAGCAGAGTTTCGTCCCGGGAGGTAAAAAGACCCCATCCCGTTTATGCGTGGTGTACGGGGATTTTTTTGGACGAGCCTCCAGGCTCGGGTACCCCACTTTAAATTCGGCCTTATGCCACATGTAATTGTGTGTGGCAGTTACTAAATAGCGTCGATGTCGGACTACAGTTAGTCGAATACGAAAGTAGTCAGCGACCACAACAATATTACTCTGCGTAATACCTATTATATCAAGTTCGTAACGTTTTGTACGTCTAACCTATTTTAGGATCGATTTAGTACAAATACAAGCCTCCACTGCGAAATAACTTCTAACATTATAAAAACGTTTTCGGTCGTTGTACAATCCGGATTCTTCAGGTGTTTGTTTATCTTATCAACCATCAGCGAATTTAGAACTGTATCTTTTTTTTTTTTTATTAATTTACGAGAGTAGATTGTTCACATTCCGGTGTCAGGGAAACATCTTGTATTTCTTGCTCGCCGCGTTCTGAGAAATAGATTTATCCTATGTGGAAAAATATTCCCAGATAAAGAAATTATCGACCAATTGAGAAAAAAATGATTTCATAAATAAAATTATAATTGCATAAGTTTTGTATTGATAAATTTTGCCACACCTAAATACACGGACACACCTACATATGCAAAAAACTTACCTGATATAGTATCTACTTCTCTCTCTCTCTCTCTCTCTATATATATATATATATATATATATATATATATATATATATAGGGGTTGGACAAAATAATTGGAACACTTGTTAAATTCAAAGAAAATTTCTTTAATATGGAGTTGGTTCTCCTTTAGGTTAGACGTACAAAACGTTACAAACTTGATATAATAGGTATTACAGACCGCTTTAATACATCTAGGAATGGAATCATACAGCTTCCTGACTTCATCCACAGGAATTTTAAGTCATTCTTCCATTAAAACCTTCTACAGCTCTTTACGACAGAACGGTGGAGGATAGCGGCTCCTAACTTGTTGCACCAAAATGCACAAGAAATGTTCAATAATATTGATATCTGGAGATTGGCGAGGCCACTCCATAAATTCTGGCTCACTTTTATGCTCTTCATACCAATTCTTAACCACTCGAGCCGTATGTATTGGAGCATTACCGTTTTGGAAGATGCAGTCACCATCAGGGAATAAAGGCTTGGCCATTGGATGAACATGATCTCCCAAAATGTTCAGGTAATTTTTGCTGTTGATTCTACCATGCAGGGCAACTATTGGACTGAGGCATTTCCATGATATGGCGGCCCAAACTATCACTGATCCACCTCCATGCTTCATTGTTGGAAGAAGACAGTCAGGGTTGTAAGCTTCTTTGGGCTGCCTCCACACATAAACTCGCCCCGAAGTTGGGAAAAGAGAAAAACTGAACTTGTTTGAGAATATGACTTGCTTCCATTGGTTGCAGACCAGGCAGTGTGATCTCTGCACTACTTCAACCTCTTTTGAATGTTGCGAGTGGAGATAAGTGGTTTCCTCACAGCGGCTCTTCCATGATATGCAGTCTTATGGAGCTCTCGGGGAACAGTTTTAGTAGAAACTGAACTATTCAGATGGTCATTCCACTCAGCAGTAATTTTGGCCGCATTTGTCCGATGAATTTCTTGACAAATTTGCGTTTCAATGTACGTCAGTCCCTGTCAGTAAGTTTGCAAGTCCGGTCCGAATTGCTACGGTTGCTAGAGGTCTTGCCCTGTTTCTCGAATTGCATCAGTTTTCTTGATATGGTAGCTCTTGAAAAACCAAACACTTCAGCAACCTTAGTGATCGAGGCTCCTGCCATGCGAGCTCCAACAATTTCCTCTTTTTCTAACTTGGAGATATCACGCATTTAGCTTAAATTTTACTAAATTCTAAAAATAAATAAGACAAAAACACTAAATTAGTTAAATTTCTTAATATAATAGGTCTTTGAAATATAGGAGTGGATTTTGCAACTGTTCCAATTATTTTGTCCAACCTGTATATATATATATATATATATATATATATATATATATATATATATATATATATATATATATGTCATTAACATTACAGATAAAATGTGGGGATTGTATTTCTATCTATCTATCTATCTATCTATCTATCTATCTATCTATCTATATATCTATCTATCTATCTATGTTCATATCTATCTATCTATGTATCGGATATCTATCAATTTTGTTCATATCTATATATCTAACTACCTTCCTAAAAAAACTGTTCATATCTATCTATCTATCTACCTATCCGTCGATCGATCGAAAAAATGAAAATAACACAGACGTCTCATTTTAACAGATATATTTACCTTATTTACCAAAAAAAATCTTAAAATACGAAGGAGTGAATTTATTCAGTAATATCGCCATTATCTTCAACCACGGCCTCTAGAAGACTTCGGAATTTCTTTGTTTAAGTCGATGAATGCTGCAATAATCCTTGCCTTCAGTTAATGATTGGTGTTACAGGGAGTTTTGTTTGGTCCCTTGCTCAACTGATCCCCACATAATCATGGAGGTGCTGTCTGGAGAGTTAGTCGGTTAGATGTAAGGAGTAATGTGATACTATAACTTTCCTGGCAACCATTACTGGGTTCTCCTGCTTTTGTGGCATGGTGCAGAGTTCTGTTACCGGACATAGGGTCTTCCAGTCGCCACCCACTTCACCCAGGGAAGC